CCACTGTTCATACACTACCATTGTGACGAGGAAGCAATCAGGTGCGAGTCTCAGTCTTCCATGCAAGCAGGGACTAGGAGCTCCTTGTCTCTGCTTTGGACCTCCTACGCTTTGCATATTAATGAGCACTGATGTTTTCAGGGATATGAGAGTCACACTGTGAAAGCCTCTGAGGTGCCCAGGGATCCAAAGAGTCCCATGCAGGTTTGCCTCACAGCAAGGTCTCTATATCACTTGCGACCACTGTGATCCCCACTGTGGCACAGCAGGCAAGTCTCAAGGGTTTTTTCCAGCTGCAATTTCTGGTTAGTGTGATGACAGTCAATATTTCCCAAAACAAAAATAAAAAGTACATGTGTCAGATTTGACCTTTAGGGACAGAGACGTCAGAGCCAAATATATAGCCTGCTAAGTGAAAGGGGGAAAGACGAGATACTTTTGATGAGGGATTTGTAAGGAAAGAGACTGAAATTCTTTCCAGACAGCTAATCCCTGATGGCAGGGCTTGGGTTCAGGGGAGGGCACTGGTCTGATAGGTGGACGTAGTGTCCTAGAAGTGGGCTGAGGTCCTGGGGCTTCCCCACCGTGCGCAGAGCATTCCCCCATCTGTGTCTGAGTCATCCTCTTAGGACTATTCACTTTTTTGAGGATGAAGAAAGAAGGGAAAACGTAAGTGGAGGCACTTGAGAAATTCTGAAGAATTTAGTGACTTTTAGTTTCGTTACTCTTCTATTCTAGCTGGTATTTCTTCAAGGAGACAGGACACACTGCTCCTTATTCAGCTCACTGGTAGTCAGAAGTACAAGAGCATGTGTACTACACGCGTAGGTCCCTGGCAGAAGGGGAAGAGCGCAAGGAATGATCAGGAATGAGGGTTACTTTCTATATTTTGGAGGCTGGTTCTCTTCCATCTTAGCTCCTGTTAGTCATTGCCTTTTTGAGCTTTTCCATCTGCATATTGCTGACTTACCTAGGCATCTGTGGGTGATATTCAAAATATTGATCTAACAGAGTTGGCCTGAGCACTGGCCTACTGCCTGCACCCATTTATTCAAGATGCTTGTTAGTGTTCAGCACAGAGGATACTGGGAGAGATGCTCTCTGCCAGCAATAGATCATAGCAAAACCTAGCTACCCACTTCTGCCTCTACAGGAAGTTTGACTTAAATGTGCAAATTCTCATGTTGATCAAGATGGGGTGGAGAGGCAAAGGAGGGAGTGAAGAAAAGGGAGGGAGCAAGAGAGAGGGAGAAGGAAAGGGAGAGATTGAGATTGTTCACTGGCCAGCCAACTTCTGATTTGAAGTAGGCTTATTCCTAACATTTCTCTCTGCTTTAGAACTGTCTGTAAATCTAACACAGCTCATTTTCTTTTTCC